AAATTGACAGGATGTTGGCTAAATCATGAGTCAGGCAATGCTTTCCATCTTATTAAAAAAAAACAATCTTTGGAAAAATATTATTAAGGACAATGGCAATGTAATTTTTGAGACTCATAGGTTTACTGATTATACCCAAACCTTCATATTGAACAAGGCCTTTGAAAGGAAAGTTACTCAAATTTTATCAAAACAGGGATACATATAGTTTTCAATTTCACACCAATGAAATTGTTTACAATGGTAACAGGTAGCACTGCAATATGTGCATTGAAATCAACTCAGTTTTCAGTTTTAGTTGGATTGTAAATAAGCCAGTTTTAGTTGGACTGAACATGTTTTTTTAAAAGGTAATATTCTACTATTCACATATAAGCCATGCAGAATGTCTAATTCTATAATTAAAATTTCGAAGATTAAAGCCCAAAGGTAAAAACTACATTATATAGAAAAATTATTTTTTTTTGAGGTTCTACCTTTCACCTACACAAAGACATGCACAATTCAATGGATGGGCAAATAAGATATCATATTTGTAGAAATAACTGTAATAATTGAGATACTTATGCATCAGTAAAAAATATTTATGTTTGTGCAATATGTTTTAAACGTCTTGCTATTGACAATGCATTGCAACCAGAAGAAATAGCTTTGGACAATTGAGTTAATTTGTCTTGCTGGCGTAATGCACATGTTTCTTTTATTGCAGGGAGAGTAGTTACTTTATGTAGCAAGATGCCAAAGTCTAAGCAGTCTTGTTGACTTAAGTTGTTGTCAATGTCAATACTTCCACATAAAGCTTTGACTTCATTAAGATTCAGAAATACTGAATGTTTTAAGCAGTGCGGTGTTTTTAAATTAAATGAGATATGATCTTCGCACGTAGCTGGACAATTTAAGCAATCGTCTCAGGACCTGAAAAAATCAGGTGACTCAACGGGATTCGAACCCATGACCTCTGCGGTGCCGGTGCAGTGCTCTGTTTTTTTAAATTAAAACACCGCACTGCTTAAAACATTCATATGACATTCATTTCACGAGAAAACATGATGACCTGCTCACCCTGTGACTTCATAGCTCAGTGGTCAGAACACTGCACCGCAGAGGTCATGGGTTCGAATCCCGTTGATCACCTGATTTTTTCAGGTCCTGAGACGATTGCTTAAATTGTCCAGCTAAGTGCGAAGATCATATCTCATTTAATTTAAAAACACCGCACTGCTTAAAACATTCATATGACATTCATTTCACGAGAAAACATAGCCCAACAATATTGACCTGCTCACCACTGTGTGACTTCATAGCTCAGTGGTCAGAGCACTGCACCGGCACCGCAGAGGTCATGGGTTCGAATCCCGTTGAGTCACCTGATTTTTTCAGGTCCTGAGACGATTGCTTAAATTGTCCAGCTAAGTGCGAAGATCATATCTCATTTAATTCAGAATTACTGGCACCCAAACTTTTTTCTTTTCTTTTTGTTTCACAACAATAATGTTTTGAACTCCAAGACCTCCATGAGCAAATCCACAAGAATGCAACAACTCTATGCCTTCCCATATCTTAATTAATAAAGATATTCACTCGGCAAAAGTGATTCCATGAGTATAGCACAATCCTTCCAAGGACATGTAGACTCCAGTTCCTACATGACCATAAAATTTTGTTATTAAAATGAATGGCTTTTCATCCCGACAAATACCAATTAAGATTGGAAAACATGGATGAGATGGTAAGCTAAGAATAGTTCTTGCTTCATCAATGACATCAAACTCAGATTTCCTCACTGCAACTGCCATTCCTCTAAACCAACATAACTCCATGCTATCAAAATTCCCATTTGGGAATGAATATGTAGGCTTCTTTGATGAGGAACGTAGCAATTCCGACCGATTGATACTCATGCAATCAGGTAATCCACATAGCATTTTATTCTCAGTTGAGCAATCTATGAAATGAGACAAGAAAATAAAGTTTGCTCCATGTCCAAGGTAGTTCTTCTCAAGATGGAAAATCATTCCCCACCACCAAAAAAAGGTTCTCAATATTATATACAATTAACACCAAAATTAAGCCCTTCCTCAAATTATTCTTATCGTGTGCCTCTGAAATTTATGTTAATTAGGGACTGCGCTAGCTATTTTAAACCATACCATTTTCCGTATGACATTGGTTAACATTTTCAATGGCGTCGATGTGGCTAATGCCAGAATAAAAGTAGACATGATTGCTATGAATTCGCTTCACCGTAGGAAAACACTTTCGTACAATGAACCCACACTCTCGAACAGATATACTCTTATATTTATTTCTCAACACTTTTAGAACATCTGAGCATTTTACGCGACATAAGGAATCTTGATGAAACAGAGTTGACAACCTATAATAAAGTCATATATAACGATTAAGGACACAAGCGACTGCGTTCACGGATCACCGGTTGACAAAAAACACCACAAGTGGAGACATTCTCACCAATTTGCACGAGCTTCTCGAAAGTGAGACGGTTTATGTTTTCTTCTTGATGCATCTTTTTTCGGCATTGCTTCAACTCAAATGACATAAATGGGCTTTAATATGGACGGGCAGTACAGTTTATAAGAGTATGCAACATATGTGAGTAATGTCCATTGTCCATATATAAAATAAAAACAATAGTACCCGCTCGGTGATTGGTCTATAGCCGTGTGTGCATTAACCTGTGCAAACCGACTTCAACTCAACCAATCAAATCAATCTATTAACCAAAAAATTTGCATATCGATGTAAATTTATCTGTTTCGAATTATTGTTTCGTATCATTGTATACAAGAGGTAAAACTGTTTTCGTGTTTGCACCATTGCACTGGCTTATGCAAACCTTGAAGCCGTTTGTGGGAACTCGAGCAGATGCAATCGTGCAACCAAGACCTTCGGTCTCCTGCTTGCACTGATCTGCTCTCAAGTTTTCCCAAAGGTCTCATTGGTTTGCATAAGGCAAATTGTATTTCTCAGATGATATATGGGCATATGTGACGAAAAGATCTAATAAATGCCTATATTAAATTAACACCTTATACATATTAAACGCCCCTCCTTGCAACGCTACTTACTAATAAAGTCCCGTCCTCGATAGACACCCACCACCTTCACAACATTACCTTTATGATATATTAATTATAGTGGGTTCACAATTTGGCTTATAAGAAGTTTAGTTTGTCTTAGTTTTGTTTTATTTGTTCACACAAACAACTAATATACACGTCTCTCTTTTCATTTCGCTGCACCACAACATCTAGAATTGATTAAACGCCCTGGCCGTTGATAAATTCATTTACGGTACCAACGAACACTCAAAATAAAGCAACATATATATCATAAATGAATTCCACTTTTAACATTTCGAAATTCGAATTCCGCTGCGTCGACATTTTCACTTTACGGTGCTTTTTGTGAAATAAACAGCACCGCATAATCCAATATCATCGAGCATATGTGATTGATACACAAAAGTATGCAGTAGCCAGTAGCAATGTTTTGTTACAGCAAATAGTTGACAGTTGTGGCTTTAAACTTTTTTAACAAATTATGTTTCAAATAAAATATTGATTTTTTTAGTTAGTACAACGACCCTTATAGCATGGACCTTATTAGTAGCAGAGTATATAGCATCTTATAATAAAAACAACCCCAAAAATTCCGATCACGTTCTTTTCTTAACATCAGAATGTTACTTTAGAATGTGATTGTAGGGAGGGTTGGTATTGCGTAGGGAGTATTTGAAGCTCACGGCAAGAATGCGTGATAGTAATACGTGCAATGATTACCGTAGGCGTGCAACGTGACAAGAGTGTTCGATCTGTAAAATGGCCTACGTGTTCTGTGAAATGGCAACAGTGCTCAGTAACGCAGATTAATAATTTTGAGTTTTATATTATTTCAATCCAAACACGTATTCGGATTCATTTCTCATTTACCTTTTACAGCGGCAGTGCCATCAAGGGTGCCGAACCAGACCGCACTCTCTCGTCAGCATCGTTTCGTTAGCTTGAACATCGGTAAAGTTAGTCATCTGTTTGGAGTTAATCTCGAGCAAAATATGAAACATGGGAAGGCTTGTAACGTTAAAAGACAAATTGGATGATTTAGACGGACAAATCATGAAATTCGGTGTTTTCAAAAACTCGCCCCAGACCCCGTTGATCAACTGACAAAGCTTTGGATACGTCTCGGCTATTTTATATATGATATGAATGCTCACAATTTTAGATGAATTGGGTTGGGCAGACAGAGCTAATTGGTTGGGATATATGTCGCATATAAACTATTACTTGTAAGACATTGATAAATAATAAAGAACATAGTTCTCTCACAATTCAACGACAGGTCAAAACTTCCGGTGTTGTACAGAAGAAGAGAAAATGACTGTGCACTAACATGACGTCACAAAACCACAAATGTTTGCGTGATATCAGTTATACTAGATACGTGAACAACTAAATTACATAATAAGTACATAAAAAGTAGCTATTAGTTTACGAATAGTAGCTATGTCGTCTATTCTATGTCACTGTCCACTTCTGAGAGCTCTTCGATGTTTTCATCTTCAGTATCGGATTCCTCATACGTTGAGCTTTCAGATTCATTGGGAATGTTGACATCATTGGTTAAGTTGACAATCTCAGCCTGGAGAAGAAAAGTTTCTCCAAGTGGAAGCTCAAAACTTTTCTTCAAGCTGAACAACTCATTCCGCAATTTGGTTTTAAATCTTATCAGTTCATGCTTTGAACCAAGCATGAATTCATCGCTGCTCAAATCACCAAGATCAGCAAGTGCTTCATCAATTTTTGAGCTAAGATTGGTGTAATACAATAGAAGCCTTTCTCTTTCCAAGTTTAAAAGTTTCTCTTTCTCGTCACATCGTTTTAGGATTAAGTACATTTCAATAGCCTTCCTCTTTGTGTATACTGGGACCGAGGCTTCCCCTAGAATGTCATCCTCACCATACTCAATTCGCTCATAAAGGTCTGATGTAGGATCTTTCGCTTTGTCAAATGTCAGACGATCGGGTAAACTGTTTATAAAATCACGAAGAGAATCAATGGCAGCATTGTGTTTCTCAATTGTTAATTTCATCTTGTTCGTGATCTTGGTGATTTGCCTGGACAAGCGAGTGGCAATTTTCTGACCATCTAAACAAGTAAAAGGAATACAAGATTAACATTTACAAGAACAACAAAAGACAGATATGGTAACATAGTTTAGGTTACAAGTATTCGAAATTTACAGTGCATTACAGTACCTGCATACTTCTTTTTCAATGTTATTAAGAAATGCCTTTCTATGGAAAGTCCATGTAAAGCTCCGATAGTATCTTTTCGTTTTCTTTGTATGACTTGCAATGCAACGACGTCAAAATTAGGATGACCAGGTTTTCATCTTTCTTTTACAGAATGCTTTTGTTCAATATCTTTTAAAATCTTTCGAAACCTGTTTACATAAATTTTGCGCGTATGTAAAAAAAAACTTTAAAGCAAAATATTGCTTTCACACATTTATACATACTGGTATAGTTTTTTCGACATCTGATGAATTGAGTAATCTTCAGATGTTATCTCCTGGTTTTCATCAAAACATCCGAATAATGTAGCACTAAGAATTTAATAATTCACCAATTAGGCTCAAAAGAAATATTAAAACGTCTATAGGCATATATTATAGAGAAACAGCCAGTTTAGTACATTAAAAAACCTACCTTAGTTGTTTAAAATGCAGTAGCTTTTGAACGTACGTCACTTTCCAGTTTTCCGTGATTTCTTTATGTTCTGTATTTAAAAAGTATGTCGTTATATCCTACAGACTGAATTGTTAAGAATGAAACTATTTGCCATGAATAACATTATATACCTGGGTAGACTCTTGACATAATTTCCTTCTCTCTGGCCTCCCACTGACAAACAATTTCAGGATCGTACGTCACTAACAAACAAAATAAATTCGTATTTCCTTGGATGCAAATTGAATTGAGAGTTTGGTTAGGCAAAAAGAAATCTTAAATACTTTTCGGCCACAGAAAACATAAGAAATTTCTAACCTACCAGAACTACTTACCAGGTAGTTCGCTAAATAAATCCTTCATTTCTTGTTGCGTTTTAATTTTAAGTTGTAAACATTTTTTAAGCTTCGACGTTAACGATTTTCCTGAAACAAATCATATACAAAAAATTAAAACAATTAAGGGGCAACAAACAAATAAAAACATTTTCATTGTGTCAACGCATAAAGCAATGACAATATTCAAGCACCTGCATTGCTAAAATTTCTTCGAGATAAGTGAAGAAGAGCGTCTGTCAAAAGATCTACTCTTCTACTGGCAGACATCTCCTTAGTAATGGCTGAGAACCCACGAAGGTAAGCCCAGAGCCTTTCAATAGCCTCACCATCTGTAAGACCAAAACCATCGAGCCTTCTAGGACTGAACTTGACCTGTTTTTTTGAAGACATTAAAAAATAATATTTTACCTACGGGGGCTTTTTATCAAGGAAGAAACCAGAGCAGAAAAGATTGTCTTTCTTCAATCGCTACATCATTACCCAGGGATGTACTTTTCTGGAGGGAGGGTGCTCTAGTTTGGATAAGATTCTAGTGGCTGCTTGTTGCCGTAATATGCAAGACATTTTTCGTTAAATTTTGTTACTTATATACAATGATTGGAGATTTTGAAATTGTGCTCCATAAACCCCAATTACGATCGCTTGATGGTTTGATATACATAAATTTCTTAGGGAAAATGCCACTCCTCATCCATCTCCACTAATCAAGGTTGGAGGCACATTCCTCCGCTATCCCGCCTCTTAATCCATCCTTGTCATTACCAGGTACAAAGCTTTATTCATTACCTGGCATGAAGCCTTGTGTCCATAACAATGAAATATCGGCACCGAAATTGACACTTTTGACAAAATGTCATGCCTCTTGTTTGCCTAGAACGGTACCAATTTATTCAAAGTTTAGTTGGTGAATGAACTTGTCCCACATCATACATGCCAACATTAAAATACCTTTAAATGTGATGATAATACACATCCAATATCATACATTATTTTTAAATCAACACCAGGACTTTGGTCAGCATCTTTTAAAATGCTTTGGATTAGGAACAGCGAATACGATATTCTGAATATTAATAATAAGACACTAAATATTATTAAAGGGTAATAATAGATCTCGTTAGCACAGAATCGTTTTGTCCTTTGTCCCTTTATTTCAAAATTGACACAGGAAAAGAAATTATAACTCGACGATTTGTTCTCCATACCACCTCATCAAAGATCAACAATATTGATAATTATGTGCAAACCAAGGCTAAGACACTAACCTTTCCCCATATTTAGTGCTGAAAAATCGTCCAGGGTGTGAATGCCGACTGCAACAACTACCAAACACTCCTTTTTCATCAAACAGTTGATTTTTTCCTTTGGAGTGAAGTGCTTCTGTAAATTCTCCTGCCTTAAATATCTGACAACTCTAAAATAAGTTGGAGCACATTACAGATTAGCGCATACATAACAATTGTTTTATTACTATAAAAATAAACATGGCAGTTTACACAATCAAGTCATAGACCATGCATAGACATGATAAATTAAAGGAAAAGAAAAAAATTGGCTGTTTGTAATTTTGATTTTAAATCCACGTAGCTACTTACGTATGTATGAGGGCTCATGGACCTGCATGAAGCATAGAACCACTTTTCTCAGGGGCGAAGCCTGCCCAATCTTTTACTCTTACAATGCAAATTTGTCAGCAAAATTGCTAATAATTTCTTTAGAAAATCAAATCCATTCATTGTTTTTCCAATGATTGAATACAAAAATATTTGCAATGTAAAAGTAAAAAAGTGCTGGCTTTGCCATTGCTTTTCATTGGACTACATATAAAGTTTGTTTTCAAACTATTCCCTCCCCTTCACAGAATACTTTTGAATAGGCTACAAAGTCCTTCATCATGCAATAATTACCTCTCCTACTTTGTTATTAGACTTGCTATAATGATCAACAAAATCATCTACTTCATCCTGATCAGCAAACTTAAGGCAGCCATGGTTTGGGACGGCAAAACTATTCCCTGCCAACTTTTGCGAGAGTTAGACCAAAGCAAGCATCCATGGAATGAATGGCCACACTTAACTCACCAGTCTAAAGCAAACAAAGCTCTTTAATAAAATGAAACGAATTTTATGGTAAACATGTAACACTTCATATTTCACAACAACTTTAAATGTTCTGATAATATATGTGACAAAAACATATAATTTAAAATAGTTCACAAAGCAAATAGTAGAAAAAAGAAATCAAATACTGACTTGTGGGCAAAGAGGGCAATTTCTATAATCAATCAGGTCTTTCTGTATGAACTTTAATGATCTGACTTGGTGTTTGAAATATCTGACAAAAAAATCAAATTCTTAAATGATATAATATATACAGTCAAACCTCTTGTATCAAATGACCCTGTACTAAGCAGATACTGTGTAAAATCCAAAACTTAATCTCATATAGCTAATAATAATGGAAGTATAATGATGAAACCTCAATCAAGCTGACACTTTCATTAAGCTGACACTAGTCTGTTGTCCAATGGTGTGTACTTAAAACAGGTTAGACTGTACTACTCTACACATATAATCTAACTATTAGGTCTACAATAACTGTAAATAGACTTTTGTTTTATAACATATAACATACCTGTATTCATCGAATGATCCATTGTTTAACACATTATATATGTTTTTGACCTTAACAAGAATAAAATGAACACCTAGTAAACTTGTGCATTTGTTTCAAAAATAAAATAAGGTTGAATACACAAAGTCATAACAGCAAAGGAAACTTCATGTACAATTTGAATGTGCTCTTACCTTATTTGAGGCAAATACACATTATTTATGTTGTTTGTAAATAACAGTGATTCAATAAAAATTTTTTGCAAAGTACAACCCATCTATTTCCACTATTTGATGGGTAGACTATCATATGGGTGCACAATTCAGGTTTATGAGAAATACATACCAGTCTAGGTAGCATTTCAGGATATTCAACTTCAACAGTGCTGCAAAATTTGTGCAAGGATACATGGCTCTCGAGCAAGAATTTTTCAGCAAAATCCATGAAGTCAAAGTGAAATGCAATTTTGGGTTTAGAAGATGAGCCTGGCCACAGCTGGAGTTTAATTAGTTTTTCAGCATCCTTAATACACTGACAGAATTCAACAATTTTTAAATGCTGCCGACCTAAATTTTGTATAAGATTAAACATTGGATTAATTGATATGCAAATAATTAACATAGAAATTATTGGCCTGAATGAAGCTAATGCTTAACAGTATTACTAACATATACACATTTACATGTAGTCAAAGTCAAAATACTGTCATTGTTGCCATACTGTACCTTTTCCATCCACACATATTATAGTACGTGATTCTGTTGAAGAGCAGTTAGCATGTTGACTGTCACATAATATACCACCAATAAGTAATGGAACAAACATTTCAAAATCAGTCTAAAGTGTAGTTATTTCAGCATCAGAACATGTATACATTACATAAGGCACCATGCACAGCATATAGCAGCATATCCTTCTTGAAAATGATTGATAGTTTTAACAAAATACTACAGATTAAGTTACTTTAGAGTTACGACATGGTTGTAAAAAATTGCCAGCATTTGATGAATACTAGAGCTTAACAAGCCAAATTCCAAATGTAAAAAGCAAAAATATTTCATCTGACGAATTGACTTTTGGAAATAATCACCTAGAATTGCCTTCTAATAGACAGGCTGGCAGGCAAATTTTATACTCAGAAAGAATTAAACTTACCTTCCATACTTCAACCAAATGGAAAACATTCCTCGTTCGATGAAGGGATTCCGCACACTCAAAACAGTAGAACTGTCCGTGACCGCAATCACGACATCTAATTTCTGCTTTCTTTGCTGGTATCCCATCTTCTAAACATTTTACGCAGAGTTGTCCTGGTAACATGGCACAATTTTCGATGTACGACTTTATTAATTATCTTGCAAACACTTCCAGGATTCGCTTTCATTCACTCTCCTCCTTTCATATCGAGATCCAGTTCCACGTAAATTATTTGTACCTTCGTTAAGGTTTTCTTGAAAGCCTTTAAATGCATCGATCGTGCGAATGGGAAGAACAACATTAGGAAGAACAACATTAGGAGAGAGAGAAATATTTTTCCTACTAAGTTTCCCAGCCGCAGAGTATGTCTTCACAGTCAAAGAGTATGGTTTTACCCTGCGATTGCCGCTCCTACTAAGCGCCATCTTTTCTGTCTGTCTCACACTGTCCAGAGATATTGAGGTCAGGAGAGACAAACATAGCCTTTAGATAGCACAGAAAGCAATCTAAATTGGCTATCTTCCGCATTCTAAAATTTAGAACTCTGAGTAATACCCATTTAGAATGAGCGAAACGGGTGTGGTGTAAGTGTGGACATTGTACTTTGTCGAAAAAGGCAATCGAGTGTTTTTGTTGCCTCGAAAAAGCGCTTGAATACGATGAGTATGAGGCTTTGCTAGGCCAAACAGAAACTCAAGGAGTAAATTGCTTGACAACACACCAAGAATTTAGGGACAATATGCTCTCAGAAAGTGTGTTAAAGATAGACGTGTGTCGGCATCTTGAAGAAAACTGGCCCCTGTCTGATGAGGATCTAGAGAGAATACACAAGCTGTATCGATTAGTTGCCTATGAAAGATGTTCTAGGTGGATTTTTCAAATTTTGGGGAAGAAACATCGAAGACCATTTCCTGCTTGTGTTTATACGAAAACGCTTCGCGTCACCAGACGGACTTCATACACATTTTAAATACGCATGTTATCACGAAAGACCGTAAATTTAGTCTTAGACAGACGCTCTTTGATGTTCTTTGTTATGATCTGCAATAGCGATGCCATATCATTGTCAAAGGATTGTCACTAACTGCGCAAAAGCAAAATGCATGAGTGATCCACCCAAAACTTGTATTCATTCATAAGTTATAAAGTTAATAGAAAAGTGTACTTGTACATTGTGCACGCAAACACGCGCGTAAAACATTACGGATAAACGAAACTCTACAGTCAAGAACAAAACATAGCGGCTTAGAGCTTATCACCTATATAAAACTACATAATTTTTCAAAGACTCTTATGTATACAAATAATAAATTAAACGTATAACTCATTTGTTGGTCACAGGTTTGTAATATGGGAAAATGAAATATTTCTGTTGCACGAAATGTTCACTGTATCAAACGCGCTTGTTGTTGTCTGGGCTTACACTTGGTTTGTCGGCAAAACCTAGTTGTAAGATCTGCTAAAATAAACGTTTCTACGTCTTATAACGACTAAATATTGGAAAAGTATATAAGCGTGATAAACTACACAACTTTTGTTAATCTTAACAACCGCCGACTGTTGTTTTTGTTTTAAAATTCCAGTGAACAAATGTGCTATATATTATTATAATACTATTATTTTATATTGTGTCATTCAGTGGATACCAGCCAATGACGTCAGTAATGTTTCCGGCATATTTTAACATAAGGCTTTTTTTTCAAAATGGCGGATAAGGATTCAACTTTATGTCAAATTTTCTCAACAGCAAAATTCAAAAGAGACACGAAAACACGAAATTAAGTATTCCATAGCTATCTATGATAAACGTATGAAAAAAAAATTTTCGTTGCCAATGTCCTTTAAGCTTTTCTAGTCTCAACACCTCACCCTAACAATACATCACAGCTACCAGTAATCAAACTATGTAAATAGCTCTATATATATCTATATTCTTGTTAACTTCCTAATTAGTTATATGTTTGTAAATGATGATCGTCCAGGTTAATAAAGTCCTGAGAAGGACTGTTTTTGTTGTTGTTGAATGACGTTTCGACGACCTTAGCGGTAGTCATCTTCAGAGTGAAATGAGGAGTAAACGTCAGGTTAGCCGTATTTGTTATCTGGTTCTTACGTCATTGTATTGTGTGTACTGGAAATGTGTATTGTCATTGTGAATTAGTGTGAAGTGAAATATTTTATTTTTAGTTGTGATGTGTGATTTAGGTGTGATGTGCGAGATAATGCAAAATCTATTCAAGCAGTAGAAAAGTTAATTTTATTCAATTTATTATTAAGTTACCCTAAAATATAATTGTACTTCAGTAGCACCTAAATTGAACGACGAGCAATATAGTTAATGATGAGAAATTGAGTTTTACAAGGAAATGCATGATGTTATCGTACGTCCTAAGTGCGGCCATTTTAAATATTTAATGTGGTCAGATTTTGTTTCTGTATGTTTTAAATAGAATGTTGCTTTGGAAAATACATTCCTCACTTGCAGAGAGCTTTTGATCAAGCAAACGAAAAACTTACAGAAGTCTTTCAACAAACCATCGATTAATGCACGTGAATACTTTCAGATATGACTTTCTGAAGAGACGATATTTCTTAACATCTCAAAACTAGCAGCTCCCTTTAAAGTGGTACTATGACGAAAATTTTGCCTCTCGTTTTTTTTCATAGATTAATAGTGTATGTAAAAAAATCTCTTCTGGCGAAATTTTAGCGCAATGTATTTCATGCTGCTCGAGTTACGTAGCGATAAAACTTGAACTTTAAGAGCCGCTATTAAAATGCGCCATATTTGAATTTTCAAGTAGGAAGGTGCTTGTGACGTCATAGTCTTAACTCGCGGCTGTTTACAATATAACACTATATACAAATAGAGATTTAAAAGGTTGTATAACTCAATTTTTTTAACATGCCTTCAACACGCTGTGTCGTGCAAGATTGCAGTAACAAGTCTGATAGAATTACAGGCATTTCATTACATAAAAGCCAAAACGACGAGTCTTTGAGAAGAATTTGAGTTAAATTTGTTCAGACGAAGCGCGCAAACTTTAATCCGAGTTCGCGCGAAATTCGATTTATGATTTGTTCGAATCACTTCTCGGATGATTGTTTTGAGCGTTTATTCCATTTGGGTGGTATGACTAGACGGCTCAAACCTGGTGCCGTACCTACTATTTGGAAGAAATCACAAACACCAACAACGTCAAGAGAGCGGCGTCAGGTTAGCACAAGTTGCAATTATTATATACTTACACATATTGCAGATGATAAATTTTCACAATTTGAGAACCAATAATACATCCAGGCAAACTTTCAATTTATAATATACATTTATACTAAGGTTTTAAAGGAAATACAAAATGAAGTGTCTGTATCATGCGATGACCTTTGGTCTTTAAACCTAACGAAGCTGCTTGAAGAACAAATTCGTTCAGGCAAACTTCGTTAAAGCCAGGGTGATCCAAATGCATTTCCTTTCATCGATTTCGAACTGATACATTTTACCACGGCATTGCTCTATTTCCATGCAGCATCGGCACTCTTGAGGGTTGACAACAAGATCCAACGAACAATGGCCACATTCACACCTTTAATATTGGCCAAATTGTATGTTTCCATAAAGTTATCATAGCTAACGGCAGACGATTCAGATCAAAGTAAAACACTAAGAATGACATCTTACCATGAAGTAACATCAACACGGGCATCAAAACGATCTTGCAGCATGTCTTCAACCCGCCGTTCTTCTGCGACTGCAGCTTCGTACTCAGCAATTTCATCGGGCGAAGCAAGCGGTTCAATACTATCGGCAAATGGCAAAATTTCCGAATTAGATTCGTCCGAATTTGCCGTCATGAATTCCGATGAAGAAATCGATGCGTTTGTCTCAATCGAAGACTCAGAAAGCGAGCTAGATCTCGATGAATTTGACATTTTTTTGCTCTATTTATGTATTACTTTGTATACTTTCCAATGTGCGCTTCTTGCTGTGTTAAGACTATGACGTCACAGACCTTTGCTGATTGCAAATATTCAAAATGGCCGATTTTAATGGCGGACATGAAAATTAGACATTTCAAATGTTCATAACTCCCTCGTTATACTATTATTTTTGCTTAAATTTTACGAAAGCAATAATTGATATGTGTTTAAACTATTGAATGCTAAAATCGATGATTTTTTAACGTTCAGTTTTCGTCATAGTACCACTTTAAGGCAACCACTATTCTAGAATTCTAAAATCAACTCCTCCGCCCTATTGTAAACTCAACTCCAAATCGAATTGACGATATGACGTCAAATAATTTCCGCTGACGCATCTGTGCCCACGCTGCCAAACCTCAAAACAGCTCAAGTAGCGCACTTGAAGACGCGATTTTGTCAAAAATAAAATAACTAATGTAAAAATTTCAAAATATAGTAGCCTTTGCATAAAAATGGAACTTTTAAGACCAACATTATGTGAGGGTGGAGTTTGCCTTAAGGCAACCACTACTCTAGAATTCTAAATTAACCACACCCGCCCTCTTGAGACGGACTCTATGCATATTTTTTTTAAAAGTACTACAAAAAAAGAGCACACTCGAACTAATATCAAACTGGGCAAAACATTGATCACAACTAAACGCTTATATACTTTACTTTGCTCTATCCTTAAAATAACAATGAGAGATGCTGCGATTTTTGCTGTCGTGATTTGTCTATTTGGCATCGTTGGAAATACTCTTGTGATCATTTCAATTTTAAAACGGAAGTTTCTGTTCACGAAGAACTACTACGTTGTTGTTTTCCATCTTGCGATATGTGACATGCTGGCATTGCTATGTTTATTTTTCATTCAGTTAGACAGTGTCCCAATTTTGCTAAACTGCTCATATCTTAGTGGCATAGATACTGTGTTTCAAATAAGCGGAGTTTCTATGATGTTGATCATTTCAGTTCTACGTTATCGCGCGACAGTTCATCCATTGAAAATTTCCTTCAGTCGAGGAAAGATAAAAATTGTTTGTTGTTTAGCGTACATCATTGGTTTGGTTACGACAGTTGTAATGACAATTCAAGAGTGCATCGTGGATCCTCAAGGTCGTTATTACATTTACGAATGGTGTACATTTTTCGTTTGTTTTTACATTATCCCAATAATATTCATGACTGTCACTTACTCCATAATCGCTCAAGCATTGATCAAGCAAAGAAAAGCACTAAGAACATTCTCAAATCCAACACGACCTAATCTACAATCCTCAGGAAACTCTAGTCCTCAAAGATATACTAGGAATAGTAAAACATTTCTAATTTGCGTTTGCACAGTCCTTTGTTTTGCAGTGGGTCATGTTTGTTTTTTGGTTGTAAATGCGCGTAGCATAGATATTCCTCTTTCATCAAATTCTTCCACCAATCTATACTTTGCTTTTGCTGTCCGTATTTTTGGCTCACACGCGTTAAATCCTCTTATCTATGGAATATTGGATAGAGAAATGCTGTATTTGTGGAAATGCTGCTCTAAAATAAGACCAGTCTAAGTGAATTGAGACTATAACGCGAAAAACTAGTCATCCAACGGAATGCTTCATTTTGTAGGTTAAAAATTGTCATGTAGTTACTAGCTAAATAGTTTAGCTCGGAATTGTTTTATAACATTTTTTCGTCATTTTTTACAATCTCCAAACAAACTTCACTATTTCTGTGTCTATAGCAGCTCAATTATATCCGCCAAACATTTTCTCATTGCAGTTTATCGACCATCTATATTGGAATAATTTAGCTTAGTATAATCTAAATTAAGAGTCAAAGATCGCTTTTCTTCGTTTGTGATGCAGCGATATGCCAGCATTAACTTTCATTCGTTGTAAAATTTACTTTGTGATTAAACTTACGGAAATAGAATAAGTTTCGTTGATGTTTGGTTACGTTGTAACGACGTACAATATGTGGGTACATAAAGCAGTACAAAAGCATCTACTTAGATCATAGGAAATGAATGTGCAATTAAAGCTCATGCACTTAACATTAGTTTTATAGAACCTCATTAACTCTCAAGGGCAACAAAAAACTGTTCGAGTCATCGGGGGTTCAAGTTCTCGAGGATATTGTTAAATTTCGTATATTAGGTGAACATGCGAAAGCATTTGCAGTTTCGCTGTTCATGTGCAATTGTGAGCTATACAAAACATTATGCAGATATTCCAAGTGTGGTTAAATCCTTAAAAACCAGTACTATATATGATTCATGAATACGAACTGCATAAGCTAGATCAATAGCATGAAACTTGTCAGGCAAATTTTTCATATAGATTGGATATATCAATGATAATGGGGGTAGGGAGAGTCCTCCATCTTTATCGCACTTCTCAATATTTTTCAAGGTGGGGGATTGCTCGCACTGTATCGCACTGAAAGAAAAGCAGAGTCTGTTGCACTTTATGGCACTGTCAATGTTTCTTTTCACGGAGAGGGGGATTACTTTATTCCTTTCGGCAACACAACATAAGGATTTTGTTACCGAGCGAAATCTTTATGGCATTGCCGTTTAGATGACGCTGTTTCCTAAATATAGAAATTTTTCACCGCGAAAAACCAAAAAATCATATGAGTCAGAACTCATCCTTACCTTCACCTTTCTATACACTACTATTGATCACGCTCTTGGTCACGTGGTGTAATATCCTGCTGGAAATTGCCTCGTGTTATAGGACAGGTAGACACTTGATACTGTTTTGAACTAGTGAAAAAATGACGAAGAAAAAAATCAAACTCTAGATAAGATTGCCAGCACTACCATTGCTTCTCCCTAATACCAAAGTTTTTGCTCAATTTTTTTTGGCAATTAATTGTTATTTTGATATGCCAACGTAGGGGAAAGATAAAAACGCTGAACAACCAATTGTTGTCGTGAAAGACGGCTCATTTACAGTATATTAGAATGTGCAACGGAAAACGATATTCTAATGCCATGTTTGTTGTTCAATATTGTATTTGTAAAAAATAACAAAAATGTTTCCATGGTGACTGCGCCTTATGCTATTCCACTCTGTTTAATTCCCAGTTGCTTCTATTTCCAAAAAAGGAAAGGTCTTTGGCACCGAGGTTGACAACATGTATTTTGCGCTGTGACAAAAAGCAAACCTTGGGAGAAGAGCGATTGAATTACCACAACCATTATCATGCATATTTAATTCACGACCGATATGCTTGTCGGACAGGCATTCGTAAAATGTACTGAGAGAAATTAATCCGTCAATCTAAAAAATCGGATGGAAATAGAACTTGCTCAATTTTTACCCGACATGATCAAAGGAGGCCGACTAGTCAAATTACATAAATTTGAAAAAGACTTGGAAACAAGAACAAAAATACGAAAAATACATCGATAAATGTACTGGATGGCGAAAATGCCTGCTCACACGACTTTAAATATTTAAACGAATGTAAATATCAAAAAAATTATCGGATCGTCTGAGCAAGCAACCAAATGTCGAAACGGAAACCATCAGACCTTTGATCATTGATCATTCATACAGATCAGCTTTAACTTCATGTAATTGAAATATTTTTATTTCTAGTGGTCGAATTGACCTTATCGTTAAATTAAGAAAACTTTGAATTGGTCAAGGTTGCTAAAATCCCTGACCAAATCTAAGTGATTTAAGCAACTTGAAAGGGAATAATCACATTGGACAATTTATATCGTAGACGCAGAAGCCTGCTTAATTTCTCTGCGCAAACCGAAAGTGAATTTTAACACTAAAGAACTAGTTCTTTTCTTCACAACACGCGTAAGACCATGCATTCGTTCCATACGCAAAGTCCTATATCTCTTTCAAAATAGCACGACTAAATATCTCAGTCACGATTTCAAGTGGAATAAAAGAGAATATAAAAGTATTACAAATAACTTCACCTTTGGTTTCATATAAAAAGACTTTATAATCAATTGGTGTTCAGCAACTCAATCATGGAAGACATAGATGTTCTCTCAGATAAACTATGACTGATGATGTAGCAACAAGCTTTCTATATTTCTTCATTTATTCGACGAATCATTTAGTACGAATCGTTGATCTAGCAATAGATTATGATATATGCGCGTGTAGCTGACAATAGTCTAGTGAATCCAATGACAGTGAACTACATTCCAAACTTTCCATATCCTTTTTTGATTTTTTCACATTTGATCTATATTTTCTTTTTAAAGGTATAAATAAAACAGCATAATTAAGTAAAATTACCTTTACATATAAACTTGACCACTTGTATGATACTCAAGCCACAATGGTCGCACAACATGAAGTGCAATTAATTAATGAATGAATATATCAACCTTGTGTTATCAACATTAATGAACAATAAAGATTTTGAGACAAATTTGAAATCTTCTTTAATTATTTAAAGAAGATTAAAGAAGATTTAATTAAAGAAGAATGGCCAACCCTGATGTTTGTTGATGTTTTCAATCTCCTGATCTTTTGGATTTACTGCGGATTCTCAAAAAGGTTTGTAAAGACTATGGCATCTTTGTTTTATTTACGTAGAGCATAAATTGTTAGTGTGATTAGTGATACCTATTGTTTAATTTGAGTCAACAACTCAACATCGACAATATGATGGTTAAGTGTTTTCCTAACATATTCACGTTATCACCGTTATATTTAATTAATTTATAGGCTATTTAAGAGTTTACTCACATATATATGTGCTGATAAACCATTATACTTTAACGCAGACTTCTGTTTTATTATATTGTTTGAGTATGAAAGTAATACAGTATCACTGAAATTCACTATTACCTCTTATAATGCAATTATCAAGGCTGAAAGGCTTACTTTTAAAATCTTGAAATGGCTTATTCAAAGCAGCCAAATAATATAAAGAAAATTAATTTGTTTTCTTTACAGTGTCTGTCAATACCTTTATACCTCCAACTCCCAGAATAGTCAGAAATTGCGGAAATATATATATGGATTAAATTCCATGATATGTGGTTAAGATTGTCTTCCTTTGATGCAAGAAATAGTATGTGTTAAAACACCAATGAATGTAAGGTAGTGTGTGTAGAGGGGCTATGTTGACAGAGGTGTGCTCTGTTCTTTAAAGTAAATTTTGATGGTGATTTTTGCAGTGTTATTGCACCTTGTTTTAATAAATTCTTTTTCTTATATGCCATGATTGACTGATGCATTTGGAAGTTTACTGAATATGAAAAATCACTTGCTTTTGCTTTGAACATTGTTTGTCATAGGTAACGTATAAATATTTTGCAGTGCAACTACTTGGTTCCTCTCCTTCACCCACTAAAACCAGGCAAAGTGCACACTCCTTTAAACCACAGCTTTAAATCTTACCACAAGATGTTCGTTCAAATAAGTAATTTTTTAAAGTCTATGCAATATTTATTTCATGCTTGTTTGCTCACTTAAGGCAAATTTATGTATATGTGTTTTTGATAATTTCTGACTCATGTAGAACAAGTATTGCAATGAACATGAATGACTAAAGTGACAAAATTGCTTAAGGAAGGACAACTAAGCTTCATCTTATCTTACAGGTTTGTGACAAATTTAATTTTCATTGCTTTCATATAACTGCTAATGTATTCATGTAATACCTATGAATACAGTCGACAAGGGATAAAGCATAAATTAATTACGTATATGTCAATATTGATCCCTCCTCCCAAATTGTTTATATTCATGTTTACTCTCAAAAAACCTCAATTGAATCATTCTTCGTTTTGTGTAATATGTAGTTTTCAAGAACTTAAAAAATATTTATCATAAATGGAAAGCGTTGTTTGGCCATAGACCAACATGATGTTTCTAAAGGTAAGTTTCTATTTCTTTAATGCATGAAGAAGTATGCACTAAAACAGCAATGGATGTATGATGATTATGTAGAATGGCTTTGTGGGAAGGGGTGTGCTGTATTTTGAAATAAATTTTATTGGTGATTTTGGGTGTGTTGCCCCAAATGGTTATTTTGCTTCTGAGGCAATTACTTGGTAAATTAGCTAGTTGTAACATGAGAATTTATTGTTGAATTTACCTTGTGCTGATTTTAAAGATGCTATGCAATACTATATGCAAACTTGGCTGACCATCAATCAAGTTATTTTAGTCTCATAAACGTCACTTGTTTTGCAAAACTTTCACCAATCCTTCATACTTGGCCTTGTGGTGTAGATTCATCAAGCATCTTTTATGAACTGGGATAGAATAGAACAAAATCCTTAAAAAGTGCATTATGTTAATTCAAATTGAGCGAGATAGTAATTTCAGTTTTATCTTAGGACAATTTTATTGTTGTTTTTACAGAAACAGCTTTCAAAAGACACCGCGAGAGAACTGGCTAATATATCTGGCATGCCCTCGACTTCTCAAATATAAAGTAAACCAGGTAGAAGGCTTAGATTGAAAGTCAAGTTCGTAAAATACACATTCTAAAACACGAATTCAACCCATCGGTATGAAGGATATTTCATTAAATTGTTTTACCGTTTGATCATCGCCATGCATGCGCATACTATGTTAATAATGCATGGTTAAGCCAATGAGATTTTAATAAACAAACGTGAGAAATATTCTGCGTGTTTGACAATTGTTGGGAAATAATTAAACTATAGATTTGCCAGAGGGAGAACGAAGTTTTAATATAAATGTTATTGCCCAACATAAAACTTTCCGTTTTATGAAGAAAAAAAAAGAAGAAAAAAACGAAGAAAAGAATGTTGAATAGAAAAATCCCACTTCTTTGTCTAATAGTCTTTGTAAACCTCAAGAACAAAAAAAAAACAAACATTCATGATTCAAGCTTGTTTTACTGTTGCAAAACAGGCTCGCTAGAATATATTTTAGCTTTGAATGGTTTTATAGCATTGTTACTCATAGATCATCATTTTCAGCAGCATCAAGTAGCTAATTGCCTAAATAAAAATATTTTTTCAATATACAACAGCGGTTTGTAAAGCAATTGAGCTTTTTTATAAACACATCATATTTGACACTGAAACAATTCCCAAAATTTGACTGCCAAACCAGATGCTTTTCTTTTTTAGCACAGTTATTTGGAAAATTCAAAATTGATGAAGTCAAGGTTTGCAAATATCACGCGTACATGATCTATAGGACTAAAGAAATGCTATTGGCTAGCTTTAATCAAGTGCAAAATGTGATTGGCTCTCGGAATAAACAAGCAATGGTTGATCAATTTTGTTAAAATTTTGTTGTAGACGACGAAGAATAAATCAACGTTTGCAAACCTTTTTTATCTTTTCATTTTGCTAAAATACGCTTACTGTCTCCCCTCATGTTAAATGCAAAACACGTTTTCTTTTAATGTTATTGCTCTTTAGGGATAAACTATTCCTGAATCGAGGAAATTCTAATTGTCGAATAATTTCAAATACAAGCAGTTTTTTTGCGACAGCCTCTATTTACAAACCAACTATTCTATAGTGTGGCTATAACTTATGATTGACTTCTTTGCTTGCAGAATGGTTGCCAAACCAGGTACAAGATTATTGAGCGAGTTATAGTGGATGCTGAAAAATAAAACAAACTAAGAAGACAGTACCATTTTAATTCGTTATATGAGAGGAGACAACCGTTGTATTTTGAACTTATTACTATTTCGTCACCACAAAGTTGATCTCAAAGAAAAGGAAATGTTATAAAGAAGAACTGTTGGCCAAATTGTTAACTTTAACCGCTAAGAATTTTTGGCGATGTAGACGTATGATTCTAAGGCTCATGATGGTAAGTCAAATAATAATTCATATTTTAAAACAGTGATCGTTTATATCGTGTGATTGGCTTCAAATCTTCTTTCGGTTGAAGATAATGTCTGTTGCATGTAGTTTAGAATATGTCGTTACGCTGCATACAAATGCTCCCAACACGTACGTACAAAATGCGCTCAACATTGTTTTGCGTTTGTTGAATGATGTTTAAACGATGCGCGCAATCGCTGAAAGCATGCTCATCCTTAAATGATAACACGTAGGATCATGGGATACAATGTTGAAGCCTAGCAACTGCATGTATATATATATACACCTACATATACGGTTCAGTGACCAGGTAAATTACTACAATATACGCTGTAAAGAGCGAATACTTTATCTCGACATTGTTGAGTGTTCTGTTCAAACGCTCTAAACAGTGTTGAGATACGGTTTGGTGACCACACATGAGAACTCAATAGTTGAACGACTCTTTTAATGTTTGCATTTATTGCAATTTGGTCAACAATCATATGGAAAATTGGTCATTTAGAAATTGCCAATTACGATGGTCAATACAACCATATGCAAAACTGGTCACTTAGAAATGACAAATAAAGATGGTTCAAACAAACATTTTTAACGGTTGTAACAAACATGCAATTTCGTCATAACCATCGTGTTGAAAATTGGTCAATTAGTAATGACTAAATAAGATTTTAATTGAGCAATAAACAATAGGTCACCTTTCTTTATTTGTTTATATTTGTTTTTTAGTAGGCTTGTTATAGTTTTGACCACGTGACATACTATCAAAAGAAATAATCAAAATAGATAATAATAAATAAATAAATAAAAAAATATAAAAGAAATCAAGTTGAATGCCACAGGATCATTTAAATGTCATTTAGAATGAAAATTTCAATTAGTTGCTCTTATTCTTTACAATATGACTTTAGCAATTAAAGCATGTTATTTCCAGAACAGAAACAAATTGATTCCAATTTATTGAAATGACACTTCTGTGACTTCAGTAGCTACGCAATACGCATTGCTGGCAAAAACGGGCGACTAACCTCGATATAAATTGTTATTTGCATTATGCTAAAAGTAGAGTTGGCTTAAGAACACGATTTGTGAGACTTCTTTGAATTATCTACATTAACGGCGTTGATTCAAAGGGAATACTATTGGATTATGTACTTCAATGGTTGGTAATGACAGTTGGAATGACAGTTAAAGAGTAGTTACTTTGTAGATCATTTTTCATACCTGCTCTTACATATTCTCAATAATATTCAAGATTGAGACTTACTCCATAATCACCCGAGCATTGATCAAACAAAGAAAAGCACTGAGAACATTCTGGATTCCAACGTAACGTCATCTTAAGTTCATCACACATACTCAAAATAGTAATACATTTTTCATCTGCGTAAACACAGTTCTCTACTTAAAAACGGGTCATATTTATTATTTTGCTGTAAAGATGCGCTAAAATTGAGATAATGCTCTTTCTCTAATGATTCAGTCATATATTCTTCGTTTATTGAATGCCTCTACAAATATGTACACTGCATTTGCTGTCCGTGTTTTTAGGTCACATTTGTTGAATCCTCTGATCTATAAAATGCTGGATAGAAAAATACTGCACTGTATTACTACTGAAATAGCTGCTCAAAAAATTGATAAAATTCAAGTAATTATCACTCCACTTTGTTTTCGAATTTTTTGCCCGAAATTTTTATGCATTTAAGTAGCTAAAACAGTATTACAATTGTCGAACAAAGTTAAACAGGAACAGGTTGAAAACCATTAACACTCAGAGATAAACACATGCAAACCGAGATCTGTGTAAATATTTTTATATAAAAAAAACTTTGTGATGGTAGTCATTGTTACAGGCATCTAATGTAAGATGTTTTAATTTTTAATCATGTGTACAAGGAGAAAATATTATCATGTGATACCCAACAAACAACTGATGTTCTTTTGGAGATTCACATGAGGCAGAAATATGAACAAATTCAAATTAAAAACATGTTCATTTAGTAGATAACTGGCCATATAACTGATTAAATTTCTATAAGATCATATCGTTACAATGTCATTTAAAAATACTTTCAAGTTCGATAATATCGTTCTCCACAAACGTTTGAAATTATTATTAACACTACTGTGTTCAATTGCATTTGTCATTTGATTTATTAAAATTTATGTTTAATAACCATTTTCTAAGTTGTACATGCAGAAATATCTCAATGGTGTCCATGTATGCATGTCGTACAACGGACTCCAAATAGATTTTATTATTCTAAAATATTTGAACTTAAATTCCTGCAAAAGTTATATCTCAGTCTGTCAGCAGATGGCATGATGACTTCAACAATCGTTTGACTTCGCAAAAAATGAGATCAATATGTTATCGGCAATTCATTATATCTTCACATGGTCAACCAATTTAGTCCAATAAAGTTTGTCTAAGAGATCATATTACACATCCAATAAAACAACGCAAACTTGATTAGTTTTTTACACGTTTCGTTTTAAGAACGCCCCCATTAAACACAGCTGTGAATGATGAGGTGCAGCATTCAATATTTACGGAAAACACATTTTATCATCACATTTGAACAGGGAAATAGAAGAAAGTGGGGCACTCCAAAGTTGGCCAGACAAATCATTAATAATGAAAGATATTGTTGTGGCAATATGTGTTCTTGGCATTGCTGGAAATACTCTCGTGATCGCTTCAATTTTAAAACAAAAGATTCTGTTAAAGAAGAACTACTACTTTCTTGTCTTGCATCTTGCAATATGTGACGCATTTGTACTATTGAGTATATTTCTCTTTGAAATCTTTGAACACCGTTTGAAAAGCAATCCAATTATGTTAAACTGCTCATATATAAGTGGCATAGATACTTTTTTTCAAATAAGTGGAGTATCTATGATGTTGATCATTTCAGTTCTACGTTATCGTGCGATAGTTCATCCATTGAAACCTTCCTTCAGTCGACAAAAGATAAAAATCGTTTGTGGCTTAGCGTACATCATTGGCTTAGTTACGACAGTTGGAATGACATTTGAAGAGTGCATTGTGGATCCTCAAGCTCGTTATTTTATTTACGAATTGTTTGCGTTTTATTCATGCTTCTACATTTTCCCAATAATCTTCATGACTGTGACTTACTCCATAATTGCTCAAGCATTGATTAAACAAAGAAAAGCACTACGAACACTCTCCAATCCGACACATTCTCATCTACAATCCTCCACCAGCTCAAGTCTTCAAAGATATAATCGGCATAGTAAGACATTTATTGTTTGTGTCAGCACAGTTCTCTGCTTCACAGTGGGTCACGCTTGTTTTTTGGTTGTAGACGTGCTCTATATAAACAACACTGTTTTATCAAATTCACCCACTAATCTTTACGTTGTTTATGTTCTCCGTCTTTTTGGCTCACACGGGTTAAATCCTCTGATCTATGGAATATTGGATAGAAAAATGTTGTTTTTATGGAAATGCTGCCCAAAAATAAGACCAATCTAAGTTGTTTTCAAAATCAAAAAGTAGAGATTTTTAATATAGGGGCTCTTTTGTGTGTTTCGAACATTATAAGTAGCTAGAATATAATTAAGTTCTGAATTGCTTTGTGAGCGTTTATATGATTCTAAGAAATGCATTTTTGTTGATTTCCAACAATACCTAATTTCATAATGGTATTGTAAATCAGGTCAGCATGTTTTCCATCTCTTTATTTACTTTACAAATAAAATAAATAAATGTGTTCGACATGATGATCTCAAAATTAATTTTGCAGAGTTCTTTCTGTGAACAAAATATTTAAAAGTAATCAGTTTCCTGTCAAATTTGTGGTAGATAAATACATTTATTCAATCTACAACAGCATTTTACAAAACAATTCAGCGTCTTTGTAAACATCGCATATTTTGCTTTATACTGAACCAATAAATACTAAAATGAGATAAAAGAATTTTGACTGCATACACGTAGTGACGTATACAAATGCAGTAGGCTAAGTAGGCTGAAGCCTACAGGCCCGCCTTTTCAAGACGCTCGTTGTATTTACCTTTCGCCTTTTTGTTCTAAAGTTCGACCATATATGCTGCTGGAAACTTTACGATCTACTGTTTTAATGCTTAACGCACAAAACTCATAAAGTGCAAGGGACTTACTCAGTTTGAATTTTAAATTTGTTCCTTAATGTTTACACTATATGAGTTACAAAAAGAAGACAGGAAATGCAAAAGCAATGGAACGCAAAAAACGCAAACGTCATCAAAACACTGAACTTATTTGGAGGAACAAATATTACTTAAAGACCCACAGCTTTGTCGTAGCCTACAGGCCTTGTAATTAGTTATCCGCCACTGATATTATTGGGGTAGGACAAACTACACGTTTCTTTTCATCCAAGATTTCATGTAAAGGAGAAGCAAATTCACTGTGCGTCTGTTCTGCCCATCCAAGCAAAGTTTTTTTTTGTTTTACCACTCTTTGTATACATACGTACATCTGTAAACGAACTCGATGTTATTGAACATCATATTTTGGGCGTCCACGCGTAGGCAAAGACGCCATTTCATATCACAAGTTTTCAAATTTACTTAAAAACTCTAGTTTACAGTAATTACGTATTATCGTTTGTTCTAAGTTGCATTTGTACAACAACAAAATCCTCCATTTTCTTGACCCAAAAAATGGCTGCCAGACTTTGATTGACGCACAATATGTTGACATGCATTCTATTACGTAAGTCCGTAGAGATAGCTAACTAGTTTCCAGTCTTCGTAAGTTACTCCTCAAATCAATGACTTATTTTAACAAACTCAAGTTTATTTCTTTTGCAATGCTCGAGCTGATTATTATTTTCGCCGATCTAAGTATCCTGACCAAATATGCAATGCGCATCGTTTTGTTGATCTTGCCACGCATCTTTGTCGACCAGTGATATTCTACATTTAAATTCAAATATTCTCAAACTTTCACAATCACGTAGCTCTCATATTAATCATTATAGAATAAATACAATAAAACGCGTACGCTGATTGGTGTAGAAGTGAATTTCCATTTGCCTATGCAAACCGATCTGAGCTTAATCAACTAAATGCATCAAAGAAAATTTACAAATCAATCATAATACGTGTTAGAGGAAAGGTCAAAGCGTTTGTTTCAAATTTGTCTTTTTCGCATTATTGTTATTTTATAAAAAAATAAACGATGTTTTACGTGTTTGCACTGGCTTATGCAAACCTTTGAGGAGTAGGAGAACTCTCGAGCTGGAGAAAACTCTCGACTTTCGATCTCGGTTTTGCACTGATCTGTTATAATTAAAATATGTAGTTACACAATAAGTGAACAAAACAGTTCTCTCAGATTTCGTTGGTCATCAATAATACTTGGCACTGACCTCTTTGATGATACTGGATGGTTTTTTCTTTAGAGAAGTTCAATATGTCGTTCTTAGCAATATAGCAACATTATCATCGACAAGGAAGGTGATTTTCATTTGATTTCCAAGTCTTTCGTTGCATTGGTTGCATGTGCCTAAATTGTTTTAATTTCTGTCGTTTAAAGCAAATTCCTTATTTGTAAATCTTCTAGGGAATGTTTGAAGCGCATCTGAAAAGTTTCTTCGTTCATTCCAACGACTCAAAACATATCAAAACATTTAAGGTAAGCAGGTGACGATTGACTATATGTCTATATCAGACTTTATGTATTTTACTTCTCATCTCTGATGTACATTAACTTGATCTGCTTAAGTGCCCTTGACACAATTTTTTCTTGTCTTTGAACAATCAATCTTCCGCATTTGTCTTTGTTTTTAACGCTAATCTTAAAATGCTTACTTGTGGAGTTATTTAAGTTTTGGCGATGTGTACACACATTGAAGAATTTTTGTTTGGCCGTTTTCTGATTTACTTTTTTTGAATCATGTTTTATTTGGTTGTTGTACCGCAAACCTGCTTATACTGTGTTAAAACTATTGTATTGTTTAGTAAAATGATCACCTACTTAGGGGCTGTTTACATGAGCCCTGCGGAAAGGTTTAGCCTTCTTTCTAGGGTTGTATTCTACCTTTCTTTTACATGCAAATTCTAGCCATACATCAAGAGCTCTGTTTGAACTGCGAATTTCGGCGCTAAAATACAAAATAGCTGAAAACAAACCAATATAGTGGTCGCCTTTTGATTTTTTACGCTGTCTAAGTTTGTTTGCTCATGTTGATGTCTTTTGTTGTCGCCATTGCTGAAAAGCGATGCCTTATCGCAGGCATGAAAATCCTTTGAATTTTCAGCCCTACAGGAAGGGCTAGTCCTGCTGAATGCGTTTACATTGGACATTCTCAGCCCTACATGGCGAGATTTCGTGTAAACAATAGCAAGATCTCGGCTGTTAAGGCTGGCCTTCCTCTCATGTAAACGAAGAGTGATTTTATGTGGAAATTTAACTGCACGCGAGATCTCGCTTGGAAGAGCCAACCTTCCCTGTAGGGCTCATGTAAACGGCCCCTTAAAGGAAGTTTTTATTTTTAGTGAAAATAAATGGAAATTACGAATTATGCTCATTAGGAAACGATTGAACGTACATTCCCTTGTTTATCTACCGCAAAAAGTTCAATGAATCCAAAACTAAGCATGCAGACATTTATGTTAAAAAGAGAGTCCATGACAGTTGTTGTAGACGATAAAAAATTTATGTAATATACACGTGTATCTGTGTTTAACATGAGAATTATCTTGAATATTCAACCGTATTTTGTATTTTTTTAGCTTGAAATAATGACGAACATCGCTTCGGAAAGTAATATAACGTTGCTATTGCGGGAATTTCAGGTAATATTTTTTGTTGAGATGTTTCAAGAAATTGTCCATTTTGAAATTTTAAATATTCTGTCATATTGAAGATATTTGTGTATTTTCTGAACGTTACTTTGTATAGTTGCAGTTATAGTTTGAAGAGCTACAATATTTGTCGTCAATAACCTCTTGTTTCTGCGTCACCTCCCACAGAGTTCCTTTACCTTAAAAACTTTTCCTCTCTTTAAAATTGATCCTAGTCATATATAGTTGTTAATCTCTTCGCACACAGTTACCCTTAATTGTACGAACATACATAGCTGCCCTTTATCCTTTAAAATACATAGTTACCCTTATTTGAACATACATAGCTGCCCTTTATCCTTTAAAATACATAGTTACCCTTAATTGCACGAACATACATAGCTGCCCTTTATCCTTTAAAATACATAGTTACCCTTAATTGCACGAACATACATAGCTGCCCTTTATCCTTCAAAATACATACTTACCCTTATCAGGTGAGAGCACCTGACAGTACTAATGACACCATCAATGACAAAAAGACAAAAAATAAAACATGCAACTTCCGACAGAAACAAAACTGCCCACTTAACGAAAACTACCTACAATCATCTGTCATCTACCAAGCAACTGTTAAACGTTTGGACACTAACACAACTGAGACCTACATCGGACTTACAGAAAGAATTTAAAACTCGACACAGGAACCCAACTGCCTCTTTCCGCCACAAAAAACTAAGAAACTTAACCAAACTCAGTAAACACATATGGACACTTAAAGACAACAACATCGCTCACGATATCTCATGGAACATCATTACTCACAGCAAACCGTACAACAGCGCCAACAAAAGATGCAACCTATGCCTGAAAGAAAAATTCTTCATCACCTACCAACCACAACTATCATCTCTCAACAAACGTAACGAACTTGTCTCCTCTTGTCGCCATAGACTCAAGGCACTTTAATGTAATTTGTAATCGTACACCTAGCTTGTATGTAGTTCTACCTATATATAGTTAGACACATGCATTTGTATTCATTTATTATTATCCCCTGAAGAGTGAGAAATCACGAAACAGGCTTGTCGAGATGAAATTGTAGTTTTGTGAATTTTCTTCTTAACAATATAATTATGCTCCGCTGTAACGCATCGAGCACTGTAATTACGGAAGATCAAATAAACAAAACTTCCTACTTACTCTTATCATATATACTTTTATCCTCTTCATACGTAGTTGCCCCATTTTGGCCTTTTTTACATCTCATCGTTCTCGTTGCAGAATTACATCAACAATTCGGACAAAGAGTTCGTTGCGTCGACGATACAAGCCATTGGCCGTTGTGCATCGAACATTCCCGAAGTTACAGATACCTGTTTAACCGGTCTAGTTAGACTGCTATCCAATAGGAATGGTAAGTTGCAGATACCTGTTTAACCGGTCGAGTTAGATTGCTATCCAATAGGAAGGATAAGTTATAACAATACCTGTTTAACTGGTCTGGTTAACTGCTATCTATGCAATAGGAATAGTAAGTTACAAATAGCTTTTTAACCGATCTTGGGAATTGCTGTTAAATATTCTTCAAAGCAGGCTTTGTTCACAAAAACTATAATCACCCTGAAGCAAAATTGGTATTGTAATGTACGCACAGGCCAACGCGAGATCTTTAAAACTTGGATTTTTCGCTTTTTTTCATTTTATACCAAGTGTTTTTTACACTATTTTTACGTTTGGCAATGGGCTTGTTGATTTCATAATGAAATTTACGGATGCAAATCTCCAACAATGCATAATAACGTTATTATTATTAAAAGCATTGTTGTATGGCAAAATGGCGCGCTTTGATTGGCTCAGAAACATTTTTGCTGGTCCATTATTTTCCCGTAATGGACCAAGGTCCATAAACGCGTAATTTTACAGTCAAGTGTAAACAAACTTCGTAATGCAAACAGCAAAACGCAAAATAAACGAAACAAAATCATTTAGGAATGAGATTCGAGGGAAAAATACTTGGAAACAGTTTAAATATCCAGACGATACAATTTGAAACAATTTATTTTTTATGGACGAAAACTAGAAAAGTGAAAGCGGACGGGTAAAAACAGCAAGGACGAGAAAGAAAGCAAGCTTCGTTTCAGGTCAAATAATGCCATGTAATAATCCTTTTCATAACCTCTCTTTCTCGGTCTTTACTGAGAAATATCGAACCTCAGTCTTTTTGTACAAACTTCGCCCTACGGGCTCGGTCTGTACAAAAAGACCTCGGTCCGTTATTTCTCCGTAAAGACCTCGCGCTCGGTCATTAAAGGCCTAGTAATAAAAATGAAACGGAAGTTGATACCGTAATCAAATAAATGTGCAAAACATGTTATGGTTAATTGAAATTACGAGTCAAAATGTAGTGTGTTTTTTTAAACTCTGCACTATCCTTGGATCCTCATTTAGATTTACAAATGAATGAAAATTTATCTTGTTGAAGTTGATGTATACATGTCAGACGTCAATTTCTTTACTTTAGAAACGGTGGTGGCTGAAAGCGTTGTAATGATAAAAAAATTATTACAATTAAAGGTAATTTTGTCGTTGTCTTTATCTTGATTGCGATAAACGTACGTATTATGATGGATGGCTGTTATTCATTTCTTTTAGCATAAAGATAAATCTCAAATAATCATACAAATGACGAAAATACTGAATAAAATTACGGTATGTAATCTTTATAATTTGCATAACTCCCTTTGTTCCAATCATTACTCCCTATCTTCCAATCATTAGTCCCTATCTTCCAAGCATTATTCCCAATCTTCCAAGCATTACTCCCTATCTTCCAAGCATGACTCCTATCTTCCAAGCATTATTCCCAATCTTCCAAGCAATATTCCCAATCTTCCAAGCATTACTCCCGATCTTCCAAGCATTACTCTTTATCTTCCAAGCAATACTCCCTATCTTCCAAGCATTATTCCCAATCTTCCAAGCATTACTCCTTATCTTCCAAGTATTACTCTCTATCTTCCAAGCATTCTCCCTATCTTCCAAGCTTTACTCTCTATCTTCCAAGCATTATTCCCAATCTTCAAGACATTACTCCCCATGTTCCACGCAGGTTCCCATGGCTCGTGCCAGTATCATTTGGCTCGTCGGTAAATATGCGGAACGTGTTCCAAAAGTTGCCCCGGATGTACTGCGAATAGCCGCGAAGTCATTCACAAAGGAGGTTTGTGAGTTATGGATTTCAACATTTCGGCATAACTTGTCTCGAAATTTCTTCATGTTTTTCGACAAATGTTTTTTTAAAAGAGTGTTTTAATGTTTTTTCCGTTGTTTTCAGGAGGATATTGTGAAATTACAAATCATCAATCTTGGTGCGAAATTAATTCTAATCAATCCAAACCAGGTTTGCCACTTGAAGAAAATACTTTATAATTATGAATTAGGGTGATAAATTTATATATTGGCAGCAACTCAGGAATACATCCATGATGGTGAGATCTATTCCTGGGTTGGGTGAGGAGGAAGGGGAGGGGTTCTAGTCTGGATTCGTACAATACGGCCACCGTTTAATACGGCGCGCTTAATACAGGTTGGACTGTGTTTTCTTGAAACTTTCCAAACTTAGAATTTTCTTAAATTTCAAGTTTTTACCAACTGATTTCTGAACACGTTTATACTTATTAATAAATCGTTTGTAAGGTGCACAATACAAACAAACGATCAACTAAAAACATTAAACTTCACACTAATCCACATTGGGTTATACACAATTGACACCCACACATTTCCTGTACACACAATACAATGACGTAAGAACCAGATAACAAATACGGCTAACCTGACGTTTACTCCTCATTTGACTCTGAAGATGACTACCGCTAAGGTTGTCGAAACGTCAGTCAACAACAACAAGAACAGTCCTTCTCAGGACTATACTAACCTGGATGATCTACATTTATAAACATGTAACGATACTCCCGGGTTCAAACCATTTACTTTTTTACTTAATATACTGTTTATATTTTTTATTTTTTTCACACTTCTAGTCGTAGCTTGACTTACTAAGCTGCGTACCACTTCTATTTCTGTAGACTCAGCAGTTGTGTCAATATGTATTAAATCTCGCCAAATATGACCAGAGCTACGATATAAGGGATCGAGCGCGATTTTTACGTCCCATTGTGTTTCCCGGAGAGAAGGTTTAATTTTAGAACTTTTTTATTGTATATTTTATCGAAAACATTGAATTATTGGATAGATTATATTTCATCTCAAACGTTCACTCATTGGCTAGGCTGTGTTTTATCTAAAACATTCACTCATTGGCTAGGTCATATTTTGTCTAAAACATTCACTCATTGGCTAGGTTGTGTTTTATCTAAAACATTCACTCATTGGCTAGGTCATATTTTGTCTAAAACATTCACTCATTGGCTAGGTTGTGTTTTATCTAAAGCATTCACTCATTAGCTAGGGTGTGTTTTATCTAAAGCATTCACTCATTGGCTAGGTCATATTTTGTCTAAAACATTCACTCATTGGCTAGGTTGTGTTTTATCTAAAGCATTCACTCATTAGCTAGGTCATATTTTGTCTAAAACATTCACTCATTGGCTAGGTTGTGTTTTATCTAAAGCATTCACTCATTAGCTAGGTCATATTTTGTCTAAAACATTCACTCATTGGCTATGTTGTGTTTTATCTAAGACATTCACTCATTGGCTAGGTTGTGTTTTATCTAAGACATTCACTCATTGGCTAGGTTGTGTTTTATCTCAAATATTCAATCATTGGCTGGGTTGTATTTTATCTAATATAATTTATCTAAGGCATTCACTTATTAGATAAGAAACATATCTATATTTCCTGTTTGTTTTTATTGCGTTGAAGAAATTTTAATGAACCAATCGAGATTTGAACTTCGTCGTCCAAAGTTTCGAAATTAAATTATTTACCATTATTATAACGTATACCATATTTACCAAGTATGAACTTCCTTACTACACTGGTTTTGAGCTATAAATTTAAACTATTATAATATCGAAAGTTTGATTTTAGCATCTTCAAACCAATAGTAAATGGAGAAACTTTTGCCATTAGAATGTGATTTACAGTTATTAACTTCGGTTTGTTTTGGACAGCGGTTCTTTTTTTTACGAATACTTTGTTTAATGTATAATATAGCACTCGAATGACATGTTCCAATGGCGTCGATTTATTTGTTCTCGTGTGTATTTCAGGTGGGACAGATTGTTAAACACTCCAAGAAGATATTGCTGGCTTCCAAACCACCTCCCGTGTTAGAGTCATCTTTCAAAGGTGAAGGAAGGTCTTCAGTCAAGGCTGTTAAATGCTTGAGTCCAGTGTCTTCATCTGGAGTCATCTGATGTTATAACTTGAGTCCTTGTGCACTCCAGTCTAGTGTCTTCATTAGTAGTGATCTGATGTTAAAACCTGAGTCCTTATGCACTCCAGTCTAGTGTCTTCATCTGGAGTCATCTGATGTTAAAACTTGAGTCCTTGTGCACTCCAGTCTTGTGCCTTCATTAGTAGTGATCTGATGTTAAAACTTGAGTCCTTGTGCACTCCAGTCTAGTGTCTTCATTAGTAGTGATCTGATGTTAAAACTTAAGTCCTTATGCACTCCAGTCTAGTGTCTTCATTAGTAGTGATCTGATGTTAAAACTTGAGTCCTTATGCACTCCAGTCTAGTGTCTTCATTAGTAGTGATCTGATGTTAAAACTTGAGTCCTTGTGCACTCCAGTCTAGTGTCTTCATTAGTAGTGATCTGATGTTAAAACTTGAGTCCTTATGCACTCCAGTCTAGTGTCTTCATTAGTAGTGATCTGATGTTAAAACTTGAGTCCTTGTGCACTCCAGTCTAGTGTCTTCATTAGTAGTGATCTGATGTTAAAACTTGAGTCCTTATGCACTCCAGTCTAGTGTCTTCATTAGTAGTGATCTGATGTTAAAACTTGAGTCCTTGTGCACTCCAGTCTAGTGTCTTCATCAGGAGTCATCTGATGTTACGACTTCACTCCAATATATTCTTCAGTGTAGTGTTTTTATTAGGAGTGATTTGATTTTGAATTTTGAGTCCTACATTCTAGTCTAGTATCCTCACCAGGAAGGATATGATGTTGAAACCTGAGTCTTTATGTATCTCAGTTTAGTCTCTTCATTAGTAGTGATGTTGAAACTTGAGTTGTCTAGTATCTTTATTAGGAAAGATCAAGCATTGCCTCTTAGGTCTCTGTATATGCTGTAGTATCTAGTGTCAATCCATGCAGCTAATGTTCTTCTCTATAAGGTCATGGTGAGTTCATCGTCGGCTCTCTCTCTCATCTCATAAACGCACGAGCGTCTGGCTATCAAGAACTTCCCGAATACCCCGAGGTCCCTCCCGATCCCTCTGTTAGAAACGTCGAGGTTTGTGATCGTTCATATCCCATGATTATGTTTTGATTGTGTGATTCAACATTTTATCGATATGTTTATGTAGGTCGAGCCGTTGTGGGAGAAATCTAAATCGAAGTCAAGATCAAAGAAAAAGTCTACATTTTACTCGAGTGAATCTGAATCAGGTGCGTTCTTCCCCCAAGTCTTTTCCTACTGGACGCGTAATTAAGTTTATTTAATTTCAACAATAATGCTTGGTTACCAATCTTCAAGCTTATATATATACATATGTAACCAAATATGCACAGTTTGGCTGAATAAATCATTTGTGTTAAGCAAGGCTACCCTTTTGTACGCACTGCGTGCCTATTTTTGCATCGTGTTCCCACAGGCTCCGGTTCAAGTGGAAGCAGCGGAAGTGAAAGTGAGAGCGATGAAGGCAGCGAGAGCGTCAGTAAATCTAGCATGGAGTCTTTACCTGGATCGGAAACAGGTAAGAGATCAAGTGGTATGCTGTTAAAACTGATATCTATGGTACCGTTATATTCACAGTCATAGAAAATATAGATCGCTACCAGCACAATATTTGCCTACAAATACCGGGGTTTTCGCGATGGTGTATTGCTGCATGGCTCTTCAGGCAATATGCGTTCTGACAGAAAACAATCCTCCCTTCCCAACGAATGGTGGGGTACATTAATGGTGTATTGCTGCATGGCTCCTCAGGCAATATACGTATTGACAGAAAACAATCCTCCCTTCCCTACGAATGGTGGGGTACATTAATGGTGTATTGCTGCATGGCTCCTCAGGCAATATACGTATTGACAGAAAACAATCCTCCCTTCCCTACGAATGGTGGGGTACATTAATGGTGTATTGCTGCATGGCTCCTCGGGCAATATACGTATTGACAGAAAACAATCCTCCCTTCCCTACGAATGGTGGGGTACATTAATGGTGTATTGCTGTATGGCTCCTCTGATTAAATATTTACTTTAAGCAATGTTTCCGCCTCAAGTTTTCGTAGTTTGACCTTGTCTTTGGCATGTATGGTCACATAGTTTACTCATGACAAGACCTCATTTTGTTTTTACATGATGGTGCAGTGTGGAAATGTACCAGAATGTACCCTATTGTACTTATTTCACACCAGAATTTGAAATGGCTACTATAATATCGTGCGCTTGAAAATGACAAACAGTTAGACTTAGTATAAGGGTTTAACTTATTTACAACTTCACAATGCAAAGCCCCGGGCTCCGGGAAACCTTTGCCAGCACATTAATGCAACCCCCCAGGGAAAATCTGTTTGCTTCCTGTCGGATAAACATAAGTCTACTCCATAGTATGTGATATAGACTTATTAAGGAATAAATAAATAAAAAAATCTCTTGCAAAACGTCATGCGTTTAAAAGCGTCCGCGCCATTCATTTTCCTCTGATACCTCCCCCCTCCTCAGTTTTTGTCATTCAATTTCGCTTTTCAGAAAGCCAAGAGAGCGACGTCGAAGGGGAAAGGAATGAAAGAGCAAAGAGTCGAAAAAAATCAGAAAGTCAGAGCAGCATCGAGTCGAAAACGAGTGAAGAGTCTTCGGATAGCGACGCCGAGTCCTCGGAAAGCGATTCGTCACAGGAGAGTGACGATGCTAAACAAGAAACGCCAGCGAAAAAAGTGAGATAAATTACTGTGCACACTTTCAAAGGATATGTATACCACTGTTTGAAAAACGAGAAATAATTCAGCTTTTCACATATGAACTGCAATTAATTAATCACAATATTTTGTATATTGAGGTCGAAACGAAGAAATCCGATGATGCTCCGAAGAATAAACGAGTTTCTAAGCCACCAACAACTGATCAATTGCTTTCGTTTGATGAAGATAGTAAGCTCACTCTTTAACGGCTTAACTTGTGGCACTGAAATCACCAATCCGATTGATTTTTTTCCTCTATACGAAATACTTTAATATTTTTTATAGTTCCTGTGGCTCCTGTTGTAAATGGTCCTGCACATAAGAACATTCTTTCTCCCTCGCTGGTGGACGATATGAAAACACTTTCCCTTGGGGTCGTACAGAATGGAGTTGCTGCGGTTGTGCAAAAGGTACATCGATGAGTTAAGTATTCAATGCGCATGCTCTAGATTAAGGACGAGGTCCTTTTCAACTGATAACAATGAAAGGCTACAGATGAATAGCAACACAGTCAATCGCCTACTTGAATTGCGCATGACATGACACGTGATCAAATCAGGCTCAAGCCGACTTTCTCATGTAGGTCGTAACGGACTTCTCTCAATTGAGGACTTATGAACTGCTCAATAAGGTGGCTGGTCGTGGATTGCAGGCTCAATACAAGTTCCCCCGGAGTCCGTGTCTGTATTCGACTACGATGGTCGCCGTTGAAATAACTTTTACTAACAGCGGCAGTTCATGTGTTGAAAACATTCACGTTGGCGAGAAGGTAAATTGCATTCTAAGTCATAGTCGTTAGTAGAAATGTGCTTACTGAGACTCTGTTTGTTTTCTCGTCTTAGAAAGTGGGACTCGGCTTGAAAATAGCCGATTTTCCTAAGATTGGTGAGTTGTCTGCTTAGAAAAAATATTAACCTGCAAATCACCTGTGAATAATTGGGATGGGGTTGCTTTGCTCTTGTTTAGAATCGATCGGTATTGGTTCTACAGTCACCGTGAGCATGGGGATAGATTTTAAGGATACTATACAACCAGTTAGTTTTGAGATATGGTATGTCGCGTTACTGTTTTATCAATTATTAATTATCTTTTATCATCAAAATATTTCCGTTAAAGTCATTGGATTTAGCATAAGAAACAAGTCAATGTGTATATCTCGACTCGATTGGAGTATATAAACTCTAGTTTCAACATTACGTCACTCTTGATGAGGACACTAGACTGGAGTTTATAAGAACTCAAGTTTCAACATTACGTCACTCCTGATGAGAACACTAGACTGGAGTTTATAAGAACTCAAGTTTCAACATTACGTCACTCCTGATGAGAACACTAGACTGGAGTTTATAAGAACTCAAGTTTCAACATTACGTCACTCCTGATGAGAACACTAGACTGGAGTTTGTAAGAACTCAAGTTTCAACATTACGTCACTCCTGATGAGAACACTAGACTGAAGTTTATAAGAACTCAAGTTTCAACATTGCGTCACTCCTGATGAGGACACTAGACTGGAGTTTATAAAACTCAAGTTTCAACATTACGTCACTCCTGATGAGGACACTAGACTGGAGTTTATAAGAACTCAAGTTTCAACATCAGATAACTCATAAGGACTCAACATATCTCTCCAAATGAAGACACTAGACTGGTGTATATAAGGACCCAAGCTTTAACATAAGAGGATAATTTAGAATACCTAGCAGCAAAACTTTATCATGCGTTCAAATTGATCTCGCTTTTTCACCAGCACGAAGTCCGATAAGTTTACTGTCAAGTTGAAATGCCCGATGGGAGAACAGCTTCACGCGAGGCCGATAACTGAAAATGACTTTCTTACTTTGCAAAGTAAGTATCGCGGTTATAAATTTTTATCTTGCTTATACAAATGCATGTAAAATGAAATTATTACAGAAATATTGACTTACCTTAAATTATCTTCGTTCACAGAGAAGTTGTCGGGTATGAATGAAAGCTCTCTGACTGTGGATATCCCGCAGGAGAACTGCGAGGAACGCGTGCTCGCGTCGAAAATCCTGGGTTGTGCGAGTGTAGCGGCATTACCCAGAAATAGCAGCTTAAATTATTATAGGTTTTCTGGGTCGGCTACTTCATCCGGGGTCCCCGTATTGATAACTGTCGAACTTAAGGAGTATGGAAAGAGAGTAGGATTACGGTGAATTGCGAAAAATGACAATCAATTCAATTTTGGCGAAAGAACTGGTCGCCGCTGTGGGAAAAGTATGATAAGTAAGTTCCCCAGATGTAAGCTGAAGGAGGGAAAAAATTCAATTATCCTTGTTGGGTAATACAATCCACGTGTGTGGGTTGTGAAGGGGGTATAAAACGCACGTGCTTCGCACATGGCCTAAGTATTCTTATGATTTTGTAACTTGCCCAAAAACTTGTAAGCTCGCTCAGACTATTTTGCATTAGAAATCTGCTGTTTCGAAATTTCTTCGAAATGGCCAAATAATATAATGAATGCTAGGAGAGGTGGTAACAGTTCCGAACCTGGAAAGGTCGAAATTTATATTACTGTTAGTATTTTTTTCCAATCAAAAATAATTTACAATGAGTCACGTTGGCATTATCTTTATGTTTAGAAATTTCTAACCAACAACGTCGCTTTCGAAGTATTTTCAATTGTAGATTGGCATAATGTGTTGATCTACCCTAGATTCGCCACTGAATGATAACTCTGTATAATCATTAGCTGCTTTATCAAACCAAGAATGATTTAATATGTATATAAAAAAAATCATGAAGGACTCTACTTTTTAGTGAAATATCAATTCCTTGTTTAATTTATTTGAAACTGAAACTTATTCTGTTTACAACCTTCTGTTGTAGCGTCCGTTGTCTTACGGAGAAAGGGATTGGTGAGTGGGGAATCGTCCACCATCATGAATCCATGATAGTTTGATATTGCTTTGGGGGCGTGGTGGGAGGGGTTCTTTAAAGCTTTTGTCATTACCACGTTGAAATGCTTTTTGTTAGAAAATGTTTTCGAGTTGATCTTTTAGAATGCGTGGAAATTACATTCAAAGAAATTTTTTGCACAACCGTGTAGGACAAATAAAATCAGTCAGCTGTTGTCCTCTATTTCTCTTTCTAATCCACAACTCTTGACGACGGTCTTAGTCACGCGGTACACTAACCTGCGCGAATTTTTGCTCATGACTTAGGACTTTGGCTTTGTGGCTTTGAATGTCAGATCAATTTTAACGAACAGTTTTGTTACTGGTCTTCATACCCAATTCCTGCTAGCCATTAATTGTAATGCTTACATAGTGGGTGTGATTGAAAACCATTGAAAACTCTGTAAAAGAACCATTGCTTCAATAACAACGATGCAAGTAGATGTCCAATTCAAGGACACGTTTTAAAAAATTCAAAATGGCGGCAAATGTGCTGTGCTCCGTGTTGTCTCCGAAAATCTTTGTAAAAGTCAAGGTTCTTGTAGTTCTCAAAGTTTAAATGCTGCCAAAATCGGCATTTTTCGTTTTTCCAAACCGAAATTAATGACTAATAATTCCACTGAACTTCGTTGTCGATTTCCAAAGTCGTAGTTTTTATTTTCATGTATTTTTAGACACGTAAAATTATCTTATAACTATTTTATTCTTTTGTAAATCTTCGACACAATCAGCGAGACAATATTTAGTATGAGGAACGCAAACAGGAGGTTAGATGTCCTGTGGGGCAGCAAGTGAAATGCGCCGATCAAATATATGAATATGGTCGTCAAAATTTTCGGCGAATTACAGCCGTCTCAGAAGAACTGCTTATCTTTAAAATCAAGCCAACATTTAGAATTTGCATGATTCAGTAGCTAATTTTTTAATCCCCAAAGAGGCGTAGATGCTATTGAAATGAATTTCGTGCTTGAAACTTGCAATAAACAGTTGTCGCAATTCGTATGTAATATTGTTTTCAAATACCTTTGAAGATATTTTGGAGATCAATTACTGCTAAATCATGCTAATTGTAAAACGCCGGCTGCATGAGCAGTTTTTGAGACACCCTGTAGAGACGGAATACCTTAAATATAAGATATTCGAAAATCTCTACATATGGAGACATTTTCGTGAGCGATAAATTCTTCATTGAATTAAATTGTTGCAAAAGTCATTTGCCGCAAATTTGTCAATTTCAACGTTTGATTCGTTAGATCATCGACAGTTTTAAATACTTTAATTTAGTCCAAATTAGTAGTGCAATTATGACTTCTCGTCCTATAAAATGGCAAACCTAATTGGTTTTGCGTTTGTTTTTTTTGAAAATGTGCTTGACACAGCTGCGATGCGGCGTTTATTCGCTGGAAAAGGAATTACTGCGAAAAGCGATAACGCTCTTTGTCGCTGGCTTATATAAATTTATAACGAGCTTTTGTGAATTTTAATAGGTCCATGTTAACGCACATTTCAAGCACAATTACAATATACGGACGTATAATGCAGATGTAGTTGGAAACAAAATGCAACAAGGTAAAATTTTTATCGAGTTTTGAGACTCACTGAAAAGCTTGAACACACAGCTCTGTATTGCATTTGCAAAGTGGAATATATAGGAGAGAAGAGCACTTCATAGAAAGTAGCTCAGATATATCAATCTTATCGCTATGGAAACTTTTATATTTTTCATTGTCGCAATATCTTCATTTGGCATCGTTGGAAATACCCTTGTGATCGCTTCGATATTAAAAAGAAAGAGTTTGTTAAAGAAGAACTACTACTTTCTTGTCTTACATCTTGCGATATGTGACGTATTTACAATGTTGAGCATATTTCTCCATTTGATATTGAATAACTTTCTTAAAAGCGCTTTAATATTGTTTAACTGCTTAAGTATAAATGACATTTATGTTTTCTTTCAAGTAAGCGGAGTTTGTATCATGATGCTCATTTCCGTTCTACGTTATCGTGCGATAGTTTGCCCATTGAAACTTTCTCTTAGTCAACTGAAGATAAAAATCGTTTGTGGTTTAGCGTACATCATTGGTTTGGTTACGACTGTTGGAATGACAATGCGAGAGTGCATCCTCGAGAGTATGGATCCTAAACGCCTTCGTTATATTTACGAATTGTCTGCGTTTTATGCCTGTTTCTACATTTTTCCAATAATATTCATGTCTGTGACTTACTCCATAATCGCTAGAACATTGAGCAAACAAAGAAAAGTACTAAGAACATTTGCGAATGCATCACAGTCTCGTCTAAAATCCTTCACCAGCTCAAGTCTTCGAAGACACAATCAGGATCGTAAGACATTTTTCGTTTGCGTCTGCACGGTTCTCTGCTTTGCAGTGGGTCATATTTATTATTTGGCTGCAAACGAATTTAAAAACCACAACGCTTTTTCACCAAATGCCTCAACTAATTTAAAAATTGCTTTTTCCGTCCGTATTATTGGCTCACACTCGTTAAATCCTCTGATTTATGGATTATTGGATAGAAAAATAATGTGTATATTGGTGAGAATGCTGAACAAAAATAGGAGAAATTCAAGTGATTCGAGATACCAAAAAGTATTTGTTCAGTAGAGTATTTGATTTTGTGATTCACACGAGTGAAATAAGCATAAGCAAAGACAAAACGATAAGGCAAGAAACATATGCATCATTAGCACTGAGATAAACACAAGGATATGACTTAAATAAGCTGAAAGAAGAACAAATGAAGATTGCATAGAATAATCTGACTTTTTTGTCTTCGTAACGTCAAGAACAAAAAAACAAACTTTCAAGCAAGCTTGTTTTACTGTTGTAAACAGGCTCTACGAAATAACTAGAATGTATTTTATCTTTGATTGTTTTTTAGCATTTTTGCTTATGGAATTCGCTAAAATATGTCAAACGCTTCGACTAGGTCTTTTTAACAGTTTTCAATTGCTAATTCAGGGAAATATTTAAATAATTTCGCCATTTAAACTAGACATTTTCTGTGACGTTAATATGTCATATAAAACTTTATATTATACAAGTAAATACTAAGATGAGATAAGAAGATTGCATACGTAGTAGTGCAATAGCATTGATAATCATAATATAATCTTGTGATCTCCAACATGGCGGAATCAAAACTCAAGAATTGTTGGTTTCAATTTCAATCAATCAAAGGGGCAATAAAAAACAATAACGTTCGCTCAACGGTTGTATTCTTTTGTATTTCACCTCCAACATGGCGGCATCGTAACTGAAGAATATATTAATGATCGAAATTTATTGAGATTGGCGTGTAACTTAAATATTAATTAGAAGTTTTTCTTTCCGAATTGCAATTCAGTTTCGAGGGTCTGATTACATGAGCACGGTAGCCGGGATTCTGCGAAGCGTTAAATCATTTTGGCAAATGGAAAAGATTAAATACTTCACAACGAGAAACTTGTTTAAGGAAATTCTCTATGCTCTGAATCTACAAATTCACAAAACCTTTAAAATGAAAACAAATAATTTAGCCTGATTTAAAAATTAAAACTAAAATGACTTATGACGCTTAAGAAATGGTTGTAAGTTTTGCGCTTTAAGTTTTTGCTCTTTTTAATGACTTCAAATTCATTTAACGCCTCGCCTAATCCCGATTACCGGGCTCATGTAAACAGCCCCTGAGGTAATTTTATTTACTAATTAAACATGGGCTGAAGCATAACATGTTTTTCTCAGCTAACCTTCATCTCAAATACAAAAATACACGTTTTTTTACAATTTTATTGCTCCTTGGGGATATATTATTTCTGAATGAGTTTCGGCTAATTTCGAAGATGAGCGGTTTTTTGAGAGAGCCCGTATAAATATTAAATCTACAACTGTAGGAAGGTGTGGTTAACTTATCATTGACTCCATTGCTTGCAGAATGGCTGCTAATCTCGATGCAAGATTATTGAGCCAGTTGTAGTGGAAGCTAATATACAATATGCTAAGTTTAAACAAAATCGGAAGACAGTCCATCTTTAATTCATTGTATGTGAAGAGGCAATAATACAGTTTTGTATTTTGAGCATATAACTAATTCATCATCATCAATTTGATCTTAAACAAAAAAACATGGCATAAAGAACAACTGTGGGACGAAATGTTAACCTCAAGAACTAAGAGTTTTCGGAGAGGTGGACGTTTGAAGTTGATTCTAAGGCTCAAATGGTAAATTACGGCATATAATTATACATAATGTTTCAAAAT